ACAGATACAATAATACCCGATTCACACGTGAAGTTAAATTTAACAAAAAGTAACAAATTGTAACCGAGCGATCTCCCGAGTTATTCCTACCGAGATAAAAAGCATTCACACGCGTCTGTAAGGTAATGCCAAGGTTGTGAAAAATGTATTCAGTGTTTATTCAATGAACCATTTTTTCCCCTACTGTGATATAGGTCTTGAATTTTCTTTTTTTTTTCTCACATTTTCTACAATTTTCAAAAATTTGGGGGGCCCGGGCCGGCTTCCCCCCCCCCTTCCCCTTGAATCCGCCACTATTGTCCTTAAGATCTTTATGCCTACATCCAATTTCTTTTTCACCTCTTTGCTACAGTATATCATGAATTTCTTCTAAAGTTTTAGGTGCACGTGTAGAAATAGTCCTATTACGTAATGGCCTCTAACGGTATTACTAATACGAATCCCCTTAATTAATGCATTAACATCGTGCAAAAAATGTAGGTTATCTTCATTGATCTCTCATGAAACCATTCGCCATCATATCAGTGAATATGTTCAGATAGGACATATTAACTATGCCTAATTGGTAGTGACGTGAGGCGGTGTAGACTGGTTCTTTTAACACCTTTCTTGTCAAGCCCATGCTTTTTGGAAAATAGCGCACGTAAAAAATACGTGCGAATGACGGGTTAAGGTTCAGAGTGACAATAGTCCCACTGATTTTAAATACATTTATTACACTCTAGTTTAGGCTGCATATTCTTAATTTAAGTTTCCAAATTTAAGTATGAAGAGGTCGGAGTTATTTCTGGTGTGTCGCTACCGAAATAGGCCGGCATTTAACGTTGAAGGTTACAGTACGTTCAAATATAAAGTTGGGTCGGCCCAGATCCCGCATTGCGGGACCTGAGCCGACTCAAAAGTCGGACTAACTTTAGGTCGGCTGAGGGCCGGCTTACATTAACATTTATTGCTGGCCCAGGGCCGACGTAACTCTTAAGTGTGATTGGGGGTCTAAAGGGTCAGGTCTTAGCACCCTGCCCCATTCAACTAGTTGAAGAATCGTACAGCTAAGTTTAGTAGTACGATCTAAGCTATGTATTGGCCAGCTGCGGAGTGGATGTGGGATCAGGGCGAAACCCCTCCCCGTGATTGCAACAAAGCCCCAACCGGGTGTTATACTCACCCTGAGTTCTGGCAACCTCGTACTTGTTTTAACCTGTGTTGACAAATTTCTGGAGCCACTGCATTTGGCATCTTATTATTATTATTACTTTATAAAATAAAATAAAAAAATAGTAAAAGTCTAGATTTAATTTATTCATAAATAGGTGAAGCAGTAAATCTGCAGGCCCGCATTTTAGAAGCAGACTATTTACACTCAATATGTAAAATATTATAATGGATCGAGATTCAAAGAAGTTTTTTTGATCAGTTGATCCTCGACTTGCATTTGAACATTTCTTGTTTTCCATTCACACAGTGTGAACAGCCAACACCTTATCGACGCGTATAAAAACAAGTAAAAATAACATAGAAAATATCAGACTCTAGCCTCATACACTCAGAAATTCAAACCATAATCACTTTTCTAGCGTTGAGCATCAGCTATACAGAGTGTAGCCTACATTATTTAGCAAGTCTCGGCGTAAAGTTTGAAATTATACAAATTTAAGTCTAGCCAATGAAAATCAATATGTCTGGCGAATGATATATAACTAATCAATATGGATCAATATACACATCGATCACATTGTAGCAAACTCAACCCAGATATTTTCTAAAAATCGAAAAGGACGTTTATTGCTATTTGGCATGCATAAAAATGCCGTCACTATAACACCGAGTGTTTTTGTTATTTAATTATTTCTCAGAATTGTCATTAAATATAGATTGGCCTAAAGTTCCAATATACCAGAATGACCCTACACCTGAAATACAAACATGACCTATATTAGTGTTATCTTGGTAATCGGGTTTTAGGCGTTGTAGAGATGGGTTTTTTTTCTGCATGTAGTTATACCGTTGACGGCGACGACGACTAACAAAACACCGTAGGCCTATCTGATTATGATTATTATTATGTTTGATAATGATGATGATGATGAGAGTGATGGTGATTATGACAGTAGTTACAAACAAGTTACAAAAA